AAAAAAAAAAAAAAAAGACCTGAGGGCATTTATTACTTTGCCAGCAAACTATTCAAACAGAAGCTTTTGCTGCAAATACAAATTATCCTTTGCTAAGCAGGCGCCCATATTTCACTATATCAAATCGATTGGACATAATAAAAAAGATGTAACAATATTTTATGCCTTTCAACAAACGACTTGACGTAAAGATGCAGTGCTGATGCTTTCAAAAGAAGTCGAAAGTTTCATTTTAGCGTTATGATATCGAGGTAATTTCTAATGTAAACACTGTATATTAGAAGCGACTTTCTGGTGCGCGTCGCAAATAACGAAGCTCTGCTTCTCACAAAACGCGACATTCCAAACACTTAAAAATGAAAATATTAGAGCAAAGCTAATTCTAAGCAATAAAGATAGAAACACGAACTGCAACTTAAGGGTAAAAGCTGAAACAAACAAAATTTAATGCTTAACAAGTAACTTCTATCCCTTGTCTGGCGTGCATTAATTTTGGAAACTAAATGTTCCTAATCAATTTCGTTTATGTGTTTACGCATACGGGCTAGGATTTTCTTGAGGGAAAAAAACCTTTGCCTTTCAAATCGAGTCGGTGTCCTGGGAGCGCATATTATTCTCTTTTTCCGTAGGTTTCCCTAGACACTTACCACAAGAGAACCACTCGCAATTTCCAAGATGTGAGCGACTGAGCGGGTCCACGTATCTCATTGAAACTCATTTTCTTGACTTTTCTCTCTCTTTCTCATCAACAGCGATATTCTCTTTCCCCCTGAAGACAAGTCTTGTTTCGTTTGAAGCATAAATGAATGTATACACCCTATAGGCTGGATCAAAATCTTAGTCGAGAACTTAATCAACAGCGCCCTCTCGCCGATGTTCTCCTTGTTTACAACCATCTCAGCAGGGAATTTAATAAGCATGCTTGACTATTGCTACGTCCTAATGAAGATGGCGGTTTTTAATTTGAAAATGCCGCTATTTGGAACTTAATTATTAGCAACTAAAATGCTTTTAGTGCAAATAAACAGCCAGTTAGGACAATGCAAGTAAGGAACTTTTGATATAAGTAAACTTTTTC